AGACTGTAGAATTGCACCATTCATCTTTACAATCACAGACCCACTTAGGGGTCTCTCAGACAACAGCTTGTCATTTGTTGATCAATAGAACTCCTGCTGTGCTATTTTGCTTCTCACTTTTCACAACGGACAGGGCACCAGCCGCTTGAAATAGACTGTGTGTTCGCTAGTGTGTGTGTGTGTGTGTGTACAAAATATAGAAGCAAAAGCTATAATATTCTGGTTGAAAGTCCATTAGCTTTGATGTGCCGTGGATGACAATTATGAACTAAAAGAAAAGTGACTAGTAGAGCTTTTGATTGGCTGAATTATATGTATCCACTGTTAACCTTAGAGCAAGTTTATGTTTTATAGTTACATACAGCGCTGGTTGGTAATACCGTATTGACCCGAATATAAGACAATGTTTTTTTCTTGGAAATACATCTGAAAAACCGCAGTCGTCTTATATTCGGGGTCTAGACTTTGACATGCCAATAATACACCCACAACACTAGGTGGCGCAAAATATGCATAAAACGAGTGTGCCATGAAATACGTAATGTAATGCGTGTTGTAAAGATGGCGAGTAAAAACAAAAGAATAAGAAAAGCTTACAGCTGCATGAGTCGTGACTGTCACGTTAGCCTGATGGGACCAAACTCCCTTTGTGATTTTAAAACGTAAGACAGTACCCAGATTTGAAGACTACAGTAAGATTTAACTTCTACTGTTAATAAGATTTTGGTAGGCTACTATTAGATGGATAGCCTAAATGTCCGAATTCAGATGGGCTACCTGTTTTTAAAATTTTTTTTATGGTATATCAAAAAGTGTATATTTTTTTTTATGTGATTGTTGGTACATTTGACCAGTTTTTACCATACTTTCAAAACAAAAATTAAAATAGGAAAAATATGCAATATGATAATAATTGAAGACAAAATGTGTTTTACTGAGAAAAAACAAGATTTGTTTTTTAAAAAGCCTTTTTCCAAAAGGTACATTTGGAAAAAGGGGGGTCGTCTTATAATCAGGGTCGTTTTATATTCGGGCCAATACGGTAGATTACATGTAATCTGGATTATGTAATCAGATTCCAAAAATTAAGTACTTGTGATTAGATTACATTATATTAGATTTTAGAATAGTCATATAATCAGTCTGCAGTTAATTTTTTATTGGTTAAATTATTACATACTTTTTAACACAATAGCAATAAATTATTTATTAATTTCTCTTTGTATTTTTATATCAATATCATACAAGATTATTAAAGTCAATGTGATAAACTATTTGGGTCAAAAGTAATCCAAAAGTGCGCTGATTAAAAAAAAAAAAAGGTACAAAAGCTGTCACTGCAGGGGAAGTATCCTTTCAAAAGTTACTAATATGTAAACTTTAAGAACAAAAATATGTACATTTAAGGTACTAAAATGTACCTTTTAGGGGTAAATAAGGTACAAAGATGTACCTTTTGAAAGGAGACCATCCCAGTGACAGCTTTTGTACCTTTTTTTTTTCCTGAAAGCGCAGGGCAGCTTTACATGTCGATCACGAGCTGTTGATAACTTCACATTTAGTATGTGTTTTTATAGTTTCATATTCACAAATAAATGAATTAAAAACATTTCTTATGTTATATGCCAATAAATCAATTGATCACATATTATAAAAGCTTCCAAATTAAAGAGATAGTTCACCCAAAAATGAAAAAGCTGTCATCATTTACTCACCCTCCACTTGATTCAGACCTGAGTTTCTTGAAATTACGAGTTTCTTTAGTCTGTTAAACACAAAAGATGATATTTTGAAGAATACTGGTAACCAAAGTGTTGATGGTAGCCATTGACTTCCATAGTATTTTTCCCCCATACTATGGAAGTCAATGGCTACCGTCAACTCCAGCATTATTTAGTATATTTTCTTTTGTGTTTAACAGAAGAAAAAAACTCATACAGGTTAAATAATTGAAGTAATTTTCATTGTTGGGTGAAAATAAATGTATGTTGAAATGTCTGTGATGTGTAAAAATTCTTTATGGAATTTATAATTATTGGGAACATATGTGTTAAGTTATACTGTTTTTTAAATTTTACTTTTACTTTAACTTTACTTTTTGTTTTTTTACTTAAAATTTTACTTTTTAATTTAACTTTATTAAATATTTAGCACAGTGGACAATTCTTTCTTGTTTAAGGGAACATGCATTGTTAAGTTTCATTAATTGTTACTATTTTTTTTATTTGAATGAATATGTGTCTTGTTTATATTCTTATTTTTTCCCCTTAATTTTGCTATGTTAAACATTCTAAATTGACAGTTAAAATCACATTTAAATCCAAAAATGTGTTTATATTGTTGCTTGATTTTTAACAGCTGCTTGCAGAGCTACTTTGATTTGAATGTGTAAATATAAATGAATATTAAAAAGATAGTTTTTTCTTTTAACCAGAATACGGTCTTACTCAGGTTATGGTATTAACGTCACTTATATACAAAATCAGAATATGACCAAATATGTCACATTACAAAATACAAGTTTCTGTTGTTATTTTAACAGCTAACTCTAATGAGCTAAAATGCAGATTTTACAGATGCGTCATTTGAAGTCTAAGAGCCGTAAACAATTATATATATAGCCTTGTATAAATGTATAAACATGATCTTTAAGAGTGTCAGATTTTGCGTAATGAGGAAAAAATCTGAATGTCACATTACAAAATACAAGTTTCTGTTGTTATTTTAACAGCTAACTCTAATGAGCTAAAATGCAGATTTTACAGATGCGTCATTTGAAGTCTAAGAGCCGTAAACAATTATATATATAGCCTTGTATAAATATAGATACTAAACATGATCTTTAAGAGTGTCAGATTTTGCGTAATGAGGAAAAAATCTGACATTCATCACGGCGTGCCGTTCCAGTCATTAGAGCAGAATTATCATCACACATTACAGAAGCCAGTCTCGAGGGCCAGTTGTTCAGGGCTTAACAAACAAGCTTTTTACCTCACTCCCATATGAATTAGCTCAAACCCGTCTCTCTCACGGCCACGGTTTCCAGTCCTTAACGTAACTCTTGAATAAACAAAGAAAAGGAATAAATTACACATGCATCAGGAACTAAAGTTAAGAAAGCAGCGTCCCTCATTAATATGCGTCCTAGTCTGGTGGAAGGGAGAGGCTTGTTTAATTGAAATAATGAATTGTCTCGCTGTGTTTGCTTTGATCAGACGGTGGCTGGGCTGGTTTTTTAATCAGACTATTCCCTCCCTAATCCAGCTCAGGCACTAATGTTGAACAATGCTCCAATAAGATATAGAAAGTCTCATTTTGCCCGCTGTCATGTTGATTTATTCTCATGTCTGTAGTCATGATACATCGCCTTCCCTGCCTCCTCAAAACTGTCTGCATGTGGTTGCATCTGTCAGAGAGCCTTTGAGTTTTTCGGGTACAAAATATCAGCCCACAGGTTCTGCTATTCCCGACTGAGGCTGAAAAACATCAGGCTATCACCGACAAGCACACCGACGGATCAAAAGCCACGTCAGAGTCATGCAATGATGTGTTTCAACAGTGAGCTGTTCATTTGCGTTTGAGTCCAAAAATGTGCTTGTGATTTTACCTCTTATTTGACGTCGTCATTAGTTCAAAACACTAGCACATGCATAAATCTGTTAGATGTTGAAATAATGTTTTTTCCTCCTTTTGTTTGAATTTCATTCAGAGCCCTCTTCTCATGCAATTTAATCAGTGGATTAACAGATGGTGTTGCAACCTGTAGAATATTTTATGTATGTATCTGTCTGTATGTCATTTCAGGAAACGACTCTGAGTGTCATCTTGTATTTTATGTAAATGCATTCATTCTCATGACTCTCTAGACAATGCCAAGTTACATCTCCAGGATTAGAAGGTTGTCATGTTACTGACCTCAAATTATAAAGTCATTTAAATTAGCCAGTTAATGTATAATATATAAAATAAAAGCAAATGCTTATGCAATATATGACGCCTGTGACTGGCCTACAAATTTGAATCATATTACAGTTCAAAAGATATTGAATATTTATTATCATCATCATCACAAGCTTGTCAGATGTTTTCCCAACTTTGCTGCAATACAAATAATTTTTTCATCAAATACATCCTGAAATGTGCGTTGCATTTAATCCTTGTGCTGTGCTGAAAAGCCTAGCCTTTTGCAAATCTTCCATTAAATATTGGATTCAATCTTTGTCAACTTGTTTTCTTTCAATTAGCAGAGGTTTTGTATTTCTATTTGGTGCCAATTAGTCATAGGCCTGAGCTTATGTAGGCTACTTCAGATTTTTTTAATAAAAAAAATTTGAAAAATCATTTTTGAGAATAAATCTTGGGGGTAACGCATTACAAGTAATGCGAGTTACGTAATCAGATTACTTTTTTTCAAGTAACTAGTAAAGTTACACATTCCTTTTTAATTTATATGAACATTCAATTTTCAAACAAGTAAAGCCAGTAACTTTGTTTTTTGTTTTAACTTTGACCGGGGACACCACAAGTGTACTGTAACAAGGTGTGAAAAAAATTTTTTGTGAAAATCCTCTCCGGGTCAAAATGACTATGATACAACATGAGGGTTAAAAACTACATATCAATATACAGAATGCAGGTTAATGCAATTTATGAAGAGTGTACGTTGTAAAAACAACACAGAGAGTATGGTAACAGACAAGACCCGGATCAGCAGGCTGTAGTTAGTGAAAGTGAATAATTACATTTGAACGGCAGATGGGATGTGATTGTATCTGATGAAGTGCAGGTGTTTGAGGCTAGCCTGTGAAACCTGATGGTTATTTGATGGAAATGGAGACGTTTGTGTCTGGTGGCCACGGTTTCTGATGCTGACAAGATGGATATTGCCGTGTTGGTTGTTTGCTTTCTAAATGATATCAATAAAATACACCTCTAGTAAACCTCATCTGGCAAAGCTTTGATGGTGAATTTGATTTAAATCTCTTCTTTATTGCCTTTAGCTTTACAGGTATTGCTTTCTGCGGGCAGAGACTGTCTCATAGCGGGAGACACCTGTTCCAGTGATGAGACCTGCAGCCCGCGTCTCCGGACCCTGCGCCAGTGCGTCGCCGGGAACGGCAGCATGAAACTCGGCCCTGGAGCCCGCAGTCAGTGCGCAAACGCCGTCTCCGCCCTGCTGTCCAGCCCTCTGCACGGCTGCCAGTGCAGACGAGGCATGAAGAGAGAGAAAAACTGTCTCAGCATATACTGGAGTCTCCACCAGTCTGGCATGCATGGCGAGTAACATGATAGTATTTTACTTTTTTTTCTAAATACTAAGATATACACAGAAATACTTTATATTTATAGAGAGAGAATATATTTTTAATGCTCACAAGCCTGCATTTATTTGATCAAAAATACAGTAAAACCAGTAATATTGTGAAATGTTATTACAATTTAAAGGAACTGTTTTCTGTGTGAATATCTGTTAAAATGTAATTTAATTCTGTGATGCGCAGCTGTATTTTCAGCATCGTTACTCCAGTCTTCAGTGTCACATGCTCTTCAGAATTCATTCTAATATGCTGATTTGCTGCTCAAGAAACATTTCTGATTATTATCAATGTTAAAAACAGGATTAGGATTAGGATTCTGTGATGAATAGAAAGTTCAAAAGAACAGCATTTATTTAAAATAGCAATCTGTTGTAATCATAAAAAACTTTACTGCCACTTTTGATCAATTTAATGATTCCGTGCTGAGTAAAAGTATGAATTTCTTTAAAAAATATATATATATATATAATGATTCCAATAATTATGATCATGATCACAGTGTTTTCACTGACATTTTGAAATCTCTAGTGTTCACAAAGCTCACTTTTATTGAAACCCATCTAACCTTTTATTGAAGCGAAGCTGTAAAAACATGTAATTCAGACATTCCCCTTCCATTGACATCACAAGCATGAACATATTAACATATGACATATGACTGCCTATAAACACTTATAGGGCATTCAGTAACTTGACCTGCCCTCATGAAGTGTGAGCTGCAGTCTTATGCAGCTGTTATCCAGACCAAACGGCTCGTACACATGTAGAGTTCTTAAAGGTGTCGACGACAGGATGGAAACACGTTTTAAAAATGTAACACTGTGTCCTGGCCAGGCGCGACGCAGTAAAGCGTTAAATGTTAAAATCTCTGTCAAAGTTGATGTCCTAACCAACCGCAGCAGGACATTTTGCCGGTTTCTTGCCACGTCTGGCTCGCAGTGAAATCTCACTGGTCTGTAGATGGAAAAATATAAGCCCATTTCATACTTTTAAGAGCCCTTTATGAAAAATATATTAAATTGACATGTTGCTTACAGAAAGTTTGAGTTGCGTCAGAATACATGGCTATGTTTGAATGGCTGTCAAAGCAGTGGTTTATTGGTATAATGAGGGCAGTGCATAATCAAATTCCAAAAATATAAGTACTTGTAATTAGATTATATTACATTTTAAAATACTCATAATCAGACTAGGGGAGAGCGGGGCACAAAGTAACACTTGTTGACTTTCTCAGTTTGTGTAAATCCACATGGGGTTCAGAGTATATATTTTTTATCCACAGTAATTTCACACTTGTCTAGTACAAATATGTCGCTTTGTTTCATAATTACAGTGTATACATTTTTCTTTATTTACCCACAAAAATTGGAAGTGAAGTGTGACAACATGCCCCATAGGTGGAACACATTGTAACAGCTGAGGGGCACATTGTAACATGACCACATGACAGCTTAAAATGTTATCTGATCGCATGAAAAAAATATACAAGACAAACTAAAATATTTTGTCAATAAAATAAAATAATTATTTATTTCAAATAAAAATAATGGCGTTTTTTAAGAACGAAAAATAATCTGATTTTGGAGTTTGACAATGAACACATTGCAACCATGCTTGGGACGGCCCACAATGCTTTACATGTCTTGAAACAATAATTTCTTAACATTAAACATTGACTGTCAGTCTTTATTCACCTGTTTAATGTGTTAAAGTAAATAGTCTGAATTACATCCCTAATGTCATAGGATAGCACGGCAGGGCACATTGTAACGCAGTGTTACAACATACCCCATCTGCGCAACTGGAATTTAAAACCGGTTACCGTCTTCTGATAGTTAGCGAAGCATTAAAAATAATCTAAACTGATAAATAACAGATTGGAGATTAAAATAATAGCAGATTTGTCTCATTTGAAATGAGCGATAAAAACTGAGATGAAAAATTTACTTAAGCCAGAAATATAATTTTACTATGGTAAAATAAATGTTTAGCGATATCTTCAAAACACTTTTGAATTTTGGTGCACTTTTTTTCTCTATATAATGTTGATATGGTAACTAGTATATGCTGTAAATTTGGTTATGCTAGCATGTGAGGAAATATTTAAACTACGTGTGTTACAACTTACCCGGCGTTACTTTGTGCCCCGCGCTCCCCTACAGTTACTTTTATTGATTACTACATGATGTTATATTACAATTACATTATACTACAAACACAATAAAATGAACAAATTCACATTATTTCTAATTTACATGTAATGCAGGGTTTCCGATTTTTTGTCAATACATTTACTTAAAAATAAATTATTTTAAAAATAAAATATTTCATCTTTATTTTAGTAAGCGTTTATTTTAATGAATACAATTTTACATTCTCATGATTTAATTGAATTCAAATTTAGAATTAGATAAGAGAAAGAAAAACAAACCACGTTTTTTCATGAAATGTAATGATTAATGCACTTCCTGTTATTAATAACAACAAATAGAATATATTTCCTTTCTCTTTATATTTTTTTATATCAGTATTGTACTATTTAAATCAATGTGAAGAAAGGTAGGTCAAAAGTCATCTAAAAGTAGTAGTGTAATGTAATGGATTACGTTACTAACTACAATTTTTGTCGTGTAATCTGGAATCAGTAACAGACTACAATTTGTATGTATTTACTATGTTCACATTTCATAGTTTCACATTTACTGTGGACAGACAACCAATCATCTCACCTGGAAAGGACATCGTAAAAAATTAATTATGTCTGTTTTTGTGAAAAACACCTTCACTAAAAGTATCGCGGGACTCCATGGGGCCCCTTAAAATATATTGCTCCGTATAACACATTTCATATATGATTTAATTGCTCAGGTTGTTTGTTCTTGCAGGGCTTAACCTGGTAGAGAACTATCCATATGAAGCGATCGAGAAAGGCTATGACTTTGTCCGTCTGGCCTCCATCACTGCAGGTAAGATGATCCGTTTCATACTATATGGCGACCTACAATCTTTCAAAATAAGGATAAATGCACATTACAAAGATTTAACAAATGCTTTTTATCTTGTAAGAAGTCGTTGAGACAAGTGAAGGAAGAATAAGTCTTATTTTTCCACAAACAGGGACTCTAGTACAATAATCTTCACTTCAAATGTGTATTAGCAGTGTAAACGTGTCTCCGCTGTGGGAGAGTCTCTGTCGTTGTGTGTTAGTGTTGCTCTGAAACTTGTTTTCACCGTCATCTCCTTTAGTTCTACCCTTGTTTTTGTTCAGCTGCCCCATGGAAATCAGTCAGAGATGCTCAGTTTGTTTGTTGAAGCTTTGTGTCTGGACTGGATTTTTCACCAGCTCTGTAAGAATCAACAAAGCTGTTAGGTGAATGATGTGGACAGACGTTCTTGGCTCTGCTGTAATTATCAATCGCAATGAAATAGAGAAAGAGCGATTTAGAGAGTCTGAGTGAGCTGCTTATTTTCATTTTCCTCAGGTTTTACTGACCTTAGCCTTAGTTATTTACTGTGGTTTTGCATTACCGTCACGATGCAGGCTATTCAGTTTGATGTCGTCGATCGGAATGCTAAAATGATTTCTTGGAAAGACGTTTCAACAGCATTCCGTTTAATTTGTTCCGTCTCATTTTCATTCCTGACTTACTTTCACATCATGATGCATTTCCTTTGGTCGTAACGATTTGTGACTCAAACTAGTCTGCTCATGTGAGTTATCTGAACCTCGGGTCACATTGCTCCTTACCTTTCAACAACACGTGCAAAGGTGACCGAATGCATTCATCCCACAGAACATCCAATAATCCCCAAAATAATGTTTCCAATTACAACCAAAGCGGATGTTTTAAAGTCATGTAAAAAACAAGAAAAAAAGATTTTGAGAATCGAAATCATACTTTCTAGATTTTTCTGTCTTTAAATATTAGATTTATTATAATATATTATAATACATTACATATTAGATACATATTAGATGATTAATATTAGACATATTGGCTTAGCAAATAACTGAAAATGAGTTTAGATTGAAATACTTCAATTACTAAAACTAAAATAAGTTAAAAGTAAATACAAAAATTAAAACAAAAATGTCAAAATCAAATAAAAAATGACTACTACTAAAGCCAAGTTATTATTATTATTATAAAAACTGAAAATATAAAAATAAAAGCTAATTAAAATGTTTAATAAACACCATAATAATAATATATAAATGATACTAAAATAACACTGGCCTAATATCATAGGCACATCTTTAAAAGTCACATAGAGCATTTTATTCTCTAGTTCTTTAACGATCCATGTTTTGGTGCTTCACAAAACCCCAAAATCAAAACACTCCTCAGAAGAACCTATAACGTAACATGAAGAACTTTTACATCTCCAAAGAGCCATTTAGCAACACAAGAACCTGGTTCAGCCAAAACCGGTCTTCATAAGAAGAACATAAGGAGCCGCAAAAAACCATTGAAGTCTGATGTTTTGATGTTTGTCCTGCTCAAATCTGTTTAGTTGTTTGAAGTCTGAACAGCAAAAAAGCATCGCAGAGATTGGCCGTCGGCCCATATTCTTCACTTCTCATTTAAATGGGTTGTTTCTCACCTTTTTGATGCTTTCACCATTTGCTCCTCTCGATCGTCAGTCCTTGTGAATTGAAAACAGCGCTCATCTCTGTGCCGCCGTATGGTGATGAACTTAAATTTGCTGTCAAAATGTCACGATGGACATGAGTGTGAGAAAATGTGCAGCTCCCCATCCTTTTGGTATGTGTTGTGCTTTACTGTTAATTCACTCACCCTAAGTCCATCCTAGATGTAGGTGATGTTTTTTCTTCAGTAGAACAGTAAACACGATTTTCAGCTGAAACCGTGATACTTGATGATTCGTAAAATGCAAGTCAGCAGCTGAATAAAAAAAGCATATAAATGAACACAATTAATACCCGTGGCTCCTGACGATATATTGAGGTCTTATGAAGTGAAACAACAGGTCTGTGCAAGAAACTGGACATCTGAACATATCTAAAATTACATTTTTAACAGAAATGAAAACGAGGCTATGAGGGATCGAAGTGTGTGTGTTCAGTAGATTGTACTGTTGATTAACAACATATGTGACCCTGCAGCACAAAAGCAGTGTTAAGTATTCAGCTTTCAGATGATGTATAAATCTCAGTTTCGAAAAATTGACCCTTATGACTGGTTTTGTGGTGCAGGGTCACATATCACTTGTTGATGAAACATCTTTCTGGGAAAAAATGTCAATAGTTCCGGTCCTTCATTCTGACTGGTTGAGCCGCGTTCAAAGCTGTTGTAAATTACTCTACAAACATACACCTTTGTTTACTTTGTGTGTTGCTTGGCATCCACTTTGTTGCTACCACAACTGATTCTAAGGAACTACATTGTTTGGTGGAAGAATACTGTTTTTATTAATATCATTACAATTTTTTTGCTCTGTTTTATTCTGTGAAACCTAACTACGTATATGGAATAACCGTTTTATAAAAGCAATAAACCCCGTGAAGCCGTGGTTTACAGTGAATTTATAACAGCTTTGCATCGTGCCTAACAATGCCCCTTAGCTGTTATAAATTCACTGCAAACCACGGCTTCTTGGGGCTTATTGCTTTAATTTGACATCATGCAATCAAGCATGCTTCTTTAACATTCTTAGGTCAGGTGTTTATAACTTGTAAGTGGTACTGTACTACACAGATATATCTGTGTACTGTGAAATAAACAGCATAGCAAAATCTTTAACGAGAGGCGCTTTATACTGTCACACCGCACAGTCCTAATACCTAATACTTTCTTTGTCAAGACTGGAAGTCCATCCCTCACAGCCCCGTTTTCATCCACGTAACATGGTGTTCAATATGGCGTCTAACCTAAAAACATACACCTTTGTTTACTTTGTGTGTTGCTTGGCATCCACTTTGTTGCTACCACAACTGATTCTAAGGAACTACATTGTTTGGTGGAAGAATACTGTTTTTATTAATATCATTACAATTTTTTTGCTCTGTTTTATTCTGTGAAACCTAACTACGTATATGGAATAACCGTTTTATAAAAGCAATAAACCCCGTGAAGCCGTGGTTTACAGTGAATTTATAACAGCTTTGCATCGTGCCTAACAATGCCCCTTAGCTGTTATAAATTCACTGCAAACCACGGCTTCTTGGGGCTTATTGCTTTAATTTGACATCATGCAATCAAGCATGCTTCTTTAACATTCTTAGGTCAGGTGTTTATAACTTTTAAGTGGTACTGTACTACACAGATATATCTGTGTACTGTGAAATAAACAGCATAGCAAAATCTTTAACGAGAGGCGCTTTATACTGTCACACCGCACAGTCCTAATACAGGTACTTTCTTTGTCAAGACTGGAAGTCCATCCCTCACAGCCCCATTTTCATCCACGTAACATGGTGTTCAATATGGCGTCTAACCTAAGGTCTAATGGCTGTACGAAAACTGCATTACAAGGTTGTAGATGTTGTCATTGCAAGTTTAGTTCATCCAATGAGGCTGAGACTAACTGGATATCGACTGCACTCTCTGACCAAACAGGGCAGATTTGATCACTTCAGTCAGTCTTAAAGATTGTGATTTGAATTCTCCACAGATTCTGAGCTCGGTATGACAACAGTGAACCGCTGCCTGGACGCAGCCAAAGCTTGCAACGTCGACGATGTGTGCCAGAAACTGCGCACCGAGTACGTGTCAACATGCATCAAGCCCTCCACCAAGTCGGGTCTGTGTAACCGATCGAGGTGCAACAAGGCCTTGCGGCGGTTCTTCGACCGCGTGCCTCCGGAGTACACCCACGAGCTGCTGTTCTGCCCTTGCAGCGACATGGCCTGTTCAGAGAGACGGCGACAGACCATCGTGCCCAGCTGCTCCTATGAGGGAGAAGATAAACCCAGCTGCCTTTCCCAGATGAGGATCTGTAAGGCCGACTATGTTTGCAGGTCAGTTTCAGAGCCATCTCGTGGGCGGTGGGATTAAACAACTCACCTTGCATTCACTCTTTTCTCTGGTTAAAGAAAGCCTTGACTTTTCTATAGCTGTCTGGAGAAAAGAGAGCATGCACGTATTGCTGCCGATAAGAAAAGAGCTTTTCTTCACATTCCTCGTAATCCATGTCTGTATAAATGGGCATTGGACAGACAAATTAAAGCTGTGAGACCCTGAAATGTTTGACTGGTCCAGATAAAACCTCACGATTGTGCATTAAATATTGAGCAGTGCAGGTTAGATCAAGTCAAATTCTGTCCTCACATGATGACAACTAATATTCTGTATCCTCAGACAGTCACATGCATTGCTCATTCAGTCTATGGCTATAAATAACCAAGAAAAAGCCATCTGTTGATGATTAATTGGTATTAGAGATGGGAGCTAATCAGTTCTGCTATGAAAAATAATATTTGCTTGCAAGGTAGCATTTTTGACTTCCAGTGGGTGATTAACGGACTCAGATGCCTAGAATGACATCAAGAAAAACAGCACGCTATGATTATGATGATGACTATATATCAAAGACGTTGTCAGGATGTTGGCATTTAAATCAGACATGGTCTATTCGGGTAGCGTCACAGACAATAGGGAAAACAGTGCTAACTGCATTATGGACTATGATTTAACAATCAAAATATAAAGGGACTCTAAAAGTGAGTATAAATGTTTTCTTTATTGTTAATATTAAGTCTTTCCCTGCCAGCCACTGCCAGCATTTTTCAGAATTTTCACAAAGCTTTCATAATGTGTTGTATAAATATCTGAACATGCAAAATACAAAAAAACAAACAAAAACAAGCTTCATGCATTATTTTATCAACATTTGAATGTGAGTAAGTTTCATAAAAAGCAACAAAAAGCTGAGAAAATGTTGTTTTTGTCAAAAACGGTCTGGATGGATCAACATTTCATTCAGTGACGCTACAAAATAAATATACACAGTACACATGCATACATTATGTAAACAAAAACTTTCATTTTGGATGCGATTAATCACGATTAATCGTTTGACAGTATTAGTTATTCCCTTTCAGTCGGTCACTCTCGACGTCACGTCGGAGGACCGACGAATTGGGATCTCGCTTAGAGGGACCAATCTACTTCGAGTGTAAACTAAACGAGCCAATGCACATTGGCATGCGATTATTGCATCCAGCTGCTGCTGATCACAGCGTGAGTATAAGTAGGCAGCAGATGCAGCGCATATTCAGGTTTTCGCTGAGGAGCCGAGCCGGTGACCCGGCCGCTCAGCGGTGGTACAGGAGCTGTGGCGACGGGACGTGACGTCTCCTTTCCCTCCTTCAGGGAACGAGGGTTACATACGTAACCGAGACGTTCCCTTTCAGTCGGTCACTCTCGACGTCATGTCGGAGGACCGACGAATTGGGATCCTACCAAAAGGCCACAGCTACCGCCTCTTCCAGTGTCTTGTGGAAGCCACCTGCGCCCCTACTTTTTGGCGTAGGCCAGAGCCTGCACAAGAGGACCAGCTACTGCTACTATGGCACTACCCACTGAGTAAGACTGGATAACACTGGGGAAACGCACCCGTTCTACTTGGAACAGGGACGTTACGGAAGCTCGAACCTTCCCGAAGGAGGTTCCGGAAGCAATACACATATGGACATCCCTTAGGTGCATATGGAAGAATGGAGGCGATTGAACCCTCTTGGAATGGCAGAAGTCTGCCGGGGAAACACGGGCTCAAGGCTATACCGTGGACTTTACACATATGGGTTCCTCTTCAGGGAACGAGGGTTACATGCGTAACCGAGACGTTTTATATATGCATCTGTATGCGGTCACTTGTTTCTGATTCTTCTTCACCGTGTTTTGATCCAGACATTCGGTACTCGTTTAGAAGAAGCACAATAGCACCTCCTACCATATAACAGTAAAAAAAAACTGAAAACCGGAAAGTTCCGTCAATGGCGGGTTAAGAGTTAATATTAAAAGACGTTTAGTTTACATGTGTATGTGAAACAATTTTGGTACTGTGTTGGGTTGCCACTTGATGTCCAATGTAATCTTAAACATACTGTGAAGCAAAACCAGATTTAGGGGCCCCAGAGAACACACTGACCACGTCTGTCTAAAATCACGAAACACAGCACAAAAAAATTATGTGGCACTGAACGCCTCCTCTGCCATCAAATAAAACTGTTTTAACTTGACACAGTGTCTTAAAAATGTGGTGCTCATCATGTGCGAGAAGCTTCAAAAGACACGAGTGCATCGGTCATACATGTCTGTCTAGTGCGTTTACATAGAA